AGAAGTTGCGTTCAACAGAGAAGTTGGACAGAATTTATGTCTGTTCGCAAAGTGGAACAAAGTTCAACTAACGAAAAATGTAACGTGTACATGCGTTGTACATTCTTTTGTCTCTTTTTTGCGTTTTTCTTCGAAAACAAAAACTTCAATTAAACATATAATGTGAAACAATCCACAACAACTAGTATATATAATATAAATAAAAAAATCAATTAAAACTATAATATGAAACAATCCACACTAAGTATTATTTATTATAAAATATGACAGATTTCAATAAGTCAATCCGACGATCTCAAAGAGACTCATCCAATGACCATCAATATTTTTTTAAAAATCATTCAAATTGCATTGTGTCTTCACGCATAAAGTATACATATATACGATAACTATACTATTGAGCTCGAGGTTTTAATTTTTTCACCGTAATACTCTCATTCACTTCGGCATTACTAAATATCAAATTTCCTTCATTTGAATCTAACTAGCATTTTCTGCCGCAAAATAAATCAATTTAATAAAAGGGATAACATGCTCAATAAAGCATGAGTTCTAGCATCAGAAGTGTTGAGATTTGTCATTTTTATTTTGTGATTTATTATTAGACAGTAATATCACATATCAATAATGACATAATATGTAACACTCTGGTTTTTCGGACCTGTTATTTGATTAAATCGATCGATTAATAATAAACCACAAATAAATCTCCGAATATAGGGACAGAACTCTATTTGCCTTAATAAATTTATAATCACAATTCTAACCTCCAAATATCAATAAAATAATCCCTTTAATATAAAAACGAATTTGTTCAAATTATACATTACCTCAATAAATCCACAAAGTTAAAAATTATATCAATATTCGTCTGTCTTCGATTCTTCAAATATCAACTCTGGTCCTTCCCTCCGAAATAATCCTTAAAAATATTAAGGGCGGGGAAGTATACAATATGACAGGAAACAATATGCTCAACGAGAAAAGAATATGAATGATCAAATACTAAATAATTCAATCGATAGACGATCATAGATAAAAGAATCAAAAATCCAATTCGATAAGTCACGTAACTCAATATCTATCAAACCTAGCCTCATACTCAGGTCCTCTTTGTGACATGACAGCTGACACCTGTGTATTTAAAATTTATAGTGATATCGAACCATTATACCCTCAGGGCTGTAATTACAATTGCACCCCGCAGGGTCATAATCACATTTCACCAATTATATCCCCAAGTACACTTCGTACATGTACCAATCAATCCCAAAATATTTAGCCCAAAGTACACATACAGATCAACCGATAACATCGACAGAATTTCCTATAAATCAGAATAATCAATAGAATTACAAAATTTCAGATAATGAAATGACACTCTTTGCAAAAAGATTTAAAAGACAGGAGCATATTGTATACTACTCCGTACCTCAAATGACTTCGATAGATATGAAATTCAAAATGCCTTGAACAAAATATTTGAATTTGATAATGATCTAAAATAAAATTATCGCTTAATTTTTGACCCCAAAATCTCATGAATTTTTTTTCTTATATTCTATTCTATTCTCTCTCTCTCTCTCTCTCTCTCTCTCTCTCTCTCTCTCTTCTCCTTGTGTGTTGTTTGAAGACCCAAATGCAGCTATTTATAGCCATGTTTGCTTGGTTACCAAGCATTTCATGGACACTTGTACATGTCATTTATTTCACCCTTTTTTTTTTCTCTTTCTTTTTGCACACATTTTTATTTGCTCATATGTGCATGTACTTTATATATATATATATAAAATCATAATTGACGACCTAATTAGCGAGTTAATAATTAAATTATATACAGGTTGTCACAATCTACCCCCTTAAAAGAATTTCGTTTCCGAAATTCAATTCTAACCTCAAAAGTAAAATAAGTATGAATATATTTTTTTCAACTCTTTACTATATGACCCAAATTTTTGATATGAATTCCAATTTATACGTCTATTTAATGGAAATTGGTTAACCTACTCCCCACATTTTAAATTTTCATACATACAACAAAAGATGGTAGTCTCACTTTTCACAAGACCCATATAAGATCTGATACTTAAGCTCTGATACCACTTTGTAACGCCTCCGACTTTTCGGACTTTTACTTGATTAAATTGATCGATCAATAATAAACCATAAATAAATCTCCGAATATAGGGCTAGAGCTCTATTTGCCTCAATAAATTTATAATCACAATTTTAACCTCTAAATACCAATAAAATAATCTCCTCAATATAAAAACGAATTTATTCAAATTATACATCACCCTAATAAACCCACAAAGTTAAAAATTATATCAAGATTCGTCTGTATTCAATTATTCAAATATCAATTCTGGTCTTTTCCTCCGAGATAATCTTGAAAAATATTAAAGGCGGGGAAGTATACAATATGACAGGAAAAGATATACTCAATGAGAAAAGAATATGAATGATTAAATACCAAATAATTCAATCGATAGACGATCATAGATAAAAGAATCAAAAATCCAATTCGATAAGTCACATAGCTCAATATCTATCAAACTTAGCCTCATAGTCAGGTCCTCTTGGTGACATGACAAGTGACACCTGAACATTTAAAATTCATAGTGATATCGAACCATTATACCCTCAGGACTGTAATCACAATTGCACCCCGCAGGGTCATAATCACATTTCACTAATTATGCCTCCAAGTACACTTCGTACATATACCAATCAATCCCAAAGTATTTAGCCTAACGTACACGTACAGGTCAACCGATAACATTGACAATATTTCATATAAATCAGAATAATCAATAAAATTATAAAATTTCAGATAATGAAAAGACACTCTTTACAAAGATATTTAAAAGACAGGAGCATATTGTATACTACTCCATACCTCAAATGACTTCGATAGATATGAAATTCAAAATACCCCGAACAAAATATTTGAATATGATAATGATTTGAAATAAAATCACCACTCAATTTTTAACTTCAAAATCTCATGAATTTTTTTTCTTATATTCTATTTTGTTCTCTTTCTCTCATTTCCCTATCCTTTCTTCCTCACTCTCACCCTTTCTTTCTTCTCCTTGTGCGTTGTTTGAAGACCCAAATACAGGCTATTTATAGCCATGCTTGCTTGGTCACCAAGCATTTCATGGACACTTGTCCATGTCATTTACTTCACCCTTTTTTTTTTTCTTTTTTTTTTGCACACGTTTTTATTTGCTCATATGTGCATGTACTTTATATATATATATATATATATTATTATGAAACTTGACCTAAATTATAGTCATTTAAATCATTTTCATACAAAGAGTCTACATTTGAGATCCATTTATTACTTTAAAAAAATTTATTATTTATTTATTGTTATATAAAATCATAATTGACGACCTAATTAGCGTGTCAATAATTAAATTATATACGGGTCGTCACATAATATATGTTGGATCTCAAAATAATCTAGCACAAAATAATTAATCAAAGCCCAAGAAGAAAACAAGAAAGGAACGTAAAAGAAGAGATGAAACAATGAGATTATAAAGTTTGTACCACTTTGTGACTAAACTGTATTCAATAAAAATACATCTTTCAACTTTATCCTTAAGATTTTCGTTGAATGGATTAGGAACATAGGTATAGGCAGTGATGATGCACAAAATAGACTTATGCACAATCAATAGTCGACCGTATGATTCATGATAATTAATAAAACAATCAATAAAACAATTAATAAAAGAGACAACACAAGCAACACACACACACACACACTATATATATATATATAATAGTTCGATTAGAGTGACCTACTCCACTTTAAAGACGACAACGGTGATCAATGGTCTTTATTAATGAAATAGTAGGTGAGAGAAAAAGAGAGAGCAAGGGTATGCTCTTGATAGCTATGAAAGAGATAGCTGTGTAAGGTTTGTAGAGAAATGTTCCCTCTCATATGGAAAGGGCTTACAATTTATAAGTATGAAGCCTTGGTTGAGGGATATGTAACTAGTCCATCGGAATGGATAGCTACATCTAAGGATTGGTACAATCAGAGATAATCTTGATCTTAAAGAGTGGCTATCTCGGTAATTACTCCTCACGTGCGCTAATCTTCCTGAACTCCTTGTACTTTGGATTGGGTTGGATCCATACGCTGGACTTGACCTATTTTTTAGCTGATTTTGACTTATCTCATTAATTGGGCTAATTGAATCTAGGCTCATCCGGCAGTATAACCAAATAACCAAGCAACCTCAAATCCAGGGAGTTTTTTTCCGAAAACTTCTAGTAGGGAACCTATTCAGAAACATATACAATACAAGCAATAATTTTTGTCTAAAAACTTTTAGGCATATTTTTAAATTTTATCATACATCTAACCATATCCATAATAATTATATGTTGAAAATTTGACCTCCCATCAAAATTTTCAGCCAGACATTGATCGAACTTGATCATGTTTGTCCGGTGACTCCCCTTTCCCCATTATCCCTTAAGAGTAATTATAACAAAGTTAATAAGAGATAGTTTTTCTTCACTTTATTGTGTTTTCTAAAATTTAGTTTATTTACACCATTTCTCTGAAATTTATTCTCAAAACTATCGAACACACAAGTTAATTTATCAAAACCCAAGAAGAAAACAAAAAAACCTAGAAATGAACGAAACCAACGAAAACAATGAAGATGTTGGAACTCAACGTCAAACCAAAGGAAAACCTTCAAATCAATATTATGTCGGTGGGTTAACAAAAGATAATCTAATGGGTTAAAGCTCTTAAACCTATTAAAATAATAAATAGGACACTTTTGAAAGTTTTGGTCAATGACCAAATTTTGGGACGAAATCAAGAGTTCAAATGATATGACAACTGATTTGAGTTTTTTTATTTGGTATCATGTCATTTAAGTCCTAATAAAAATTTCAAATAATCAAGTGCTATGTAATTTGAGATCTTGATTTAGTCTTGAAAATTAGTCAGCGTAGCATTACTCATGCCATATGTAAGCACAAAATTGGTAGCTACCCATAGTTGGGAAAATCCAAACGGGAGATACCTTCTTATGCTGCTGTGAAAGATGTTGGATGATTCTAACTCTTTGAAAGCTTCCATCATCAAAGGTGAAAATGACCAAGTCATATGGGGATGGATAGTTTGCAGCCAAGTAATAATAATCTGCAAAGTATATGGAATTTGGTCGGCATTCTGGAAAGTCAGACACTGCCATTGAACATGTCTTACATAAGAACAGGGTATCATCACCAAGGCTCTTCAACTCAACCCTCTTTGCCTCCTCCCCGCTTGAACTAAACTGCAGCTTGAAAATCTTGAAACTTGGAGGACTCCCGTGCTCCGGCCTCAAAAACATTTCAACCAACAAAAGATCACCCGCAGATGATTCGACTAGATATGTTGAGTGACTTGAGTTACTATATGACATTCTTGGTGAAACAACCTTTACAACACCGGATGAGGGTGGCGAAGATGAATTATTATCATCATCATCAACAACACCCCAAATATCAACTGATACCACCTTACTCCAACGGTCCACAACAGATATACGACCTCTATAACTGATAAAATCATTGGGCCAATAATGGCGCGGCATACTAAGAAAACCCCATGCTTTATCCTCTATACATGTTTTATCATCATCTGATTTGATATATGCCAACTTATCACAATAATTAAAGATTGCAACAACTGCTTAATCAAATTGAAACAAAACAGGGTCAGCCGTTAGCGTAGTCTTAAAAACATAATCGTCATACATGTGAAAATCCCAAATATTTGGGTTGGGTTCAAAACGGGGAAAGTGGGATAGTCCAACCACTATAACCCAAGTAAGGATTGAAGAGGGCTAAACCTAAATCCGTCTTTTTAGTGATCAGCCAACCGTGTGAAGATCCATATACTCCACAATTACCATAACCCACCGGATTAATTTTGAAGGCAGACACTTTATCATCTCTGACGACACTGTATAAACTATGCCTTTCATGGCAGCCGATGCTACTTCTACGGCTACAGACAGAGATGTCATCATCAGGTGGGAGAGGGAGGAAAACCGGTCGCGGCCGCCGCCAAAATTGTTTCGCAATAGAGTATCATTGCTTGCAAACGATTGCAAAGTGGATGTTGTCAGAGAGTCTAACCAACCTATTAAGAATTGAATACAGAAGGCCCTTGGGAAGCCATGCCCAATCTGATGAGAACTCCTCCATGAATGCCATGTCTCTATCTACAGTGGTTCCCAATATTATATGTGTTTGTGTGTATGTGGCTTTTGTATTCCTTTTAGAAGAAGAATTCCTAGAAACGCACAACATAAAACCTGAAAGAGAAGATGACTGGTCCAACAATGAAACGATTTTCTTCCTTTCCTAAAAAGTATTCTCAATATTAATAATTTCTAAATATCTATTTCTAAATGTCTATTTTAACTTAGTCATTTATTTATGCAAGTTGGATCATCAAAATATAAAAAGGAAAGAAAAAAAAATGAGAAAAATGATAGGAATATCCTAACGGTGAAATAATGTCGAATTCTAATAAAATTTGAGTGGGTCGTTTGTGATGTTTGAATATTCGCATTATTGGCTTCAATTTTGAATTAAATAAGTGGTTTTTCTCATAATGTGTTCATGTATAAATCTTTTTGAAAAAGAATATTTTTTTTTATTAAGGTTCTATTAGAGCATTCAAGTTATTGAAATAATTGTTGCCCTAAATGTCCTTGAATCTATGTCTGATTGAACTCAGCACGGAGCCAAACATTTTGTTTTAGGTGGACACTTTAATTAGCTAAATTTTTTATTTTTTTTCTCCAATCAAAGAAAGTAGAATAAACATATTTAAATTTGATGTATCATATATATTTGATACTAAAAAAATTCATTTAACATGAAAAGGTATAATGTCAAATATATCAATATAATAAAATAACTAGCTTTATTTGTCTTGAACTTTTTGTGATTTAGATCGTTTCAAGACTTTTGATCTAACAACTAAAAGTCTTCCTTCAAAATATTTTTCAGCCCAACAATTTTAACAAATCTCTAATTCCAGAAATCTCAAAGACTTATCTCAATCTCTCATATTTGTACGTCTCTCACTCAGTCCCACCCAAAATACATATCTCCCATTTTCATATCTATACTACGTCTGTCTCTCACACTCTTTCTCTACCAGTGACCTCGCCGCCGCCACCTCCACTGCCACCGGCGATACCAAGTTTTACTCTCTCTCCCTCTCTATTTGTCTCTGTGCCTCTATTTTCTTAGTTTTCTTTCTCTCATGCATTTCTTCCAGGTATTCTCTCTCTCTCTCACACCAACCTAGAGTCCCCAACCCGAAAACCCATAATTGCTTGAAATAGCCCGCCAGGAAAATACCATTGCCGCCTTAAGAGGTATCTTTATCCCTTCTTACTATGTATAAGAACTGAACTTGCATAAGGAAAATCACATTTGTATCGATACTAGTTGAGTTACACTTAAAGGGAGATTGTTACAATGGGATACTTGATCCTTGTCATTTCAATCTAGTGTGTTTATCTGATACTATCTTATCATCTAATACATTTATTTTTTGAATTTGAGCAGTATCCTTAACACGCCCCCACGAGTGAAGCGGCCTATAGAGGAGGCTGAGCTTGTTACAAAGAAGGATGAATCTTGGTCTGGACAACGCCTTAGTCAGAATATTAGCAACTTGATCTTTGGTGGAAATATAATGAATCTCAAGACTTTTGGTTGCAATGTTGTCCCGAACAAAGTGTAGACCAATTTCAACATGCTTCATACAATTGCGAAAGATGGGATTAGCAGTGAGATATGTGGCACCAATATTGTTGCACCATAACACAGGGCACTAGGTTTGTGGAATGTTCAATTCATGAAGCAGAGATTGAAGCCATGTGACTTTGGCAGTGGTGTCAACTAGGGCCCTATATTCGACTTCAGTGCTAGAACGAGCAACACAACGTTGTTTGTGAGAAGACCAAGAGACCAAATTCGAGCCAAGGAAAATAGCATACCAGCTAGTGGATTTTTGATCATCTGGGCAGCCAGCCCAATCAGCGTCTGCGTATGTTGAAATATGGAAATTAGTGGAACGTTGGATTGGGAGACCAATGTCTAAGGTATCTTTGAGATAGCGGAGGATTCGCTTAACTACTGACCAGTGAGTGGTGGTTGGAGATTGCATAAATTGGCACACTTTGTTCACTGAAAATGCAACATTCGGCCGAGTGATGGTGACGTATTGAAGAGCACCAACGACACTGCGATAAATGGTTGGGTCATTGAATGGTTCGCCAATAGATTTGCTAAGTTTAGTGGTTGGGGCTAATGGATTGGAGAGAGGCTTTGCACCGTCCATGGAGCAACGTTTTAGAAGATCAACAATGTATTGTCTTTGATTTTGGATAATGGAATGAGACTGATGTTGTACCTCACTACCCAAGAAGAAGCTAAGGCACCCAAGATCCTTAGTGGCAAATTAAAAACTGAGTTTAGAGATAAGTAATGAAATATCAAACGAAGAATTGCCAATGATAATCAGGTCGTCGACAAAGACCAAGATATACATAATAGTAGAGCCATGGGTGTGAATGAATAAAGCAGTGTCTGTCCGAGAAGCCATAAACCCAGAGGAGAGAAGAAATGCACTTAGCCAAGCAAACCAAGCATGCGGAGCTTGTTTGAGGCCATAGAGAGACTTCCAAAGGTGGCACACATGAGTTGGAAAATGGGTGTCAATAAACCCCGGTGGCTATTGCATATAACCTTCCTCATTTAATGTGCCATGTAGAAAGACATTTTTAATATTGAGTTGACGAATTGGCCAACCATAGTCCATCGCAAGGCAGATAATGGTTTTAATGGTAACTGGTTTTATAACATGACTGAAAGTTTCATTGTAATCAAAGCCTTCGTGTTGATTGAAACCCTTGGCCACAAGTCGTGCTTTGGAATGCTTAATAGAACCATCAACACGACGTTTAATGTGAAAAATCCATTTACACCCAACTATATTGGTAGAAAATGGAGGAGATTGGAGAGTCCATGTGCCATTTTGCATAAGAGCATGAAACTCCTCTGCCATGGCCGCCCGCCAAACAGGATCCGTGTTAGCTGAAGTAAGCGAAGTGGGAACACCATCATTGGATGATAGTGTTGAATAACACATGGGTAAGGGATATTTTGTTGACAAGTTAAAGAACTTAGGCTTGCGGGTACTATCTTGGGAACGAGTCAACATTTTATGCATATGGTGAACAGGAGAAGACAAAGGAACCAAGGGACCATCTGAGTGGGCTGGTAGGTTGGACACTGGGCATGATGTGCACCAGAAGATTCTGACGGATAGGGATGCTGTCCACGACCACAACCATGACCACTGCCATGAGTACCGCGAGAACCTCAGTGGTGATGTTGGCCTTTAAGGGTAGGAAACGAGGTGTTTGTATGTGTACTGTCTTGAGCAATATTAGCAGTAGGAACAGTGTCTGTAACAGTGGACTCATGAGCGATACGAAATTCTTTAGTGAGCAAATAGCCAAGAAGATCTACAAGAGTGATAGAGTAAGCTCGTGTTAAAATGGAAGTCCGAAAAGGACCATACTCTACTGGAAGGCCACCAATGATGTAGAGAATGAGATATTCATCTGTAATTGGTCATGCAACCACTGCAAGCTGTGAGCAAGTGTCTTTGCACGTTGAAAATATTTGTGCACCGAGTCGGTGCCTTTCTTCAGAGCTTGAAGCTCCATACGAAGTTGACGAATTCTAGCAGGGGAATGTGCAACAAAGGATGCCTCAAGAGTAGTCCAAACTTCATGAGAAGTAGAGAGTCCAACAACTTGGGCATGAACTTCCTTTGTGAGGGAAGCAATCAACCAGCCCAAAAGGAGTTGATCTTGGCAGTGCCATGAAACATACTTAGGATTTAAGGTTGAAGAAGAATCAGAGGAGGAAGAAATAAATTTTGGTGGAGAAGGAAAAGAGCTATGCACATATCCAAGAACACCATGACCACTAAGTTGAGGCATAATCTAAGAGTGCCAAAAATGATAATTGTTTGCCGAAAGTTTAGTTGTGAGGGTATTGGTGTGTGGTGATGAGGAGGGAAATAGGGTGTTAGGAAGTGAAGACGTTGTTTGGTTTGAAGTGGAATATGAAGAACTCATGATGAGCTAAAGAAGAATTTGCAGGTTCAGGTCTTAGGCTCTAATAACATATAGGAACTGAACTTGCAAAAGGAAAATCACACTTGTATTGATACTAGTTGAGTTACATTTATAGGGAGACTATTACAATGGGATAAGTTGAAAATGGATTGATCCTTATCGTTTCAATCTAGTGTGTTTATCTGATCTTATCTTATCATCTAATACATTTGATTTTTGAATTTGAGCAGTATCCTTAACACTATGCTCCTCTCATTCTCCTTTTCTTTTGTACACTATAAGCCACTACCCCACACCCCTTGGATCTCTATCCCCACATCACAACACTCCGACAACTCTCTCCCCCCTCTTTTTGTTCCCTAAAACCGCTTATAGTGCACACACACACACACACACACACACACTTCTTCAAAACCCCTCACATCACACACATAGCACCGCGACCACGATACCCCATCATTCTTTGCCTCCACCCCTTCATTTAATCGACACACATGAGCTGTTCGATTGT